CAGGGACGCGCGCGCGGTAAGCTGGATTTGTCAAGATCGTCACAGAGCCGGAGCCGCATGCACAGGTAGTTCCTTCAACGCCTCTAGCTTTGTGACTGATAATCTTACCTAGTCTCCCAGAAAGTCTTTCCCATGCCTTCTAGTTGTTGCCTACTGCCCAAGGCTAAAATGACATTGCTCCCCTCCTCACATCATGCCTCCGAAATGGATATTGGACGAGCCTAAGGATGGTTGAAGAACATGCAGTACCATGTTCACTTCAGTGTGTCCCGCATAGCAGAAAGCGCAGTTTTTGATGACTACGGCCGAACTCTAGTCTCGTTCTCTGCGGATGAAGGGACATGTCAGGTGGGATGGGTTTGGGGAGGTGCCGACAACAATCAATGGAAAACCTCCGTAACGAACGATATGATACAGTCTTGTCGTTCGCGAGCTTCGATTTAATATTCTTTACTTACAATTAGCAAACAATAAATCCTTGAAATATAAGAACTTAATCACCTGCAGTGTGAATGCCTGAAGTCACACTTGTCAGAAACTGTGTGAATGACGATAAACGTCCGTGAGATCCGATGACATCGCTTGGATCGTACTTCACCGCTAACCGAAGATGTTTTAATGCTTCTGCATAGTTCTCTTCATATCTGAAAACCACTGCATAGCAAAGCTTTAACGGAAAGAAATATCACGGAGTCAACTAACAACACTTTTACCATACGTTAATTCAAAATGCACAATGGCTATAGGCATACTGGCACGTTGATGGTCCACTGGATAACGCCTTCCGCATAATCTTAGCCTGGATCCCGCAATCGTAGAACTGACGAACTTCACAAGGAAAATATGGCAGGCCGAGGTGGCTCTTTTTAATTAAATGTACACTGATTGAAGGAGCGGTGATTAGAAACCGTCTTCCATTTCTGCTCATGACCTGTCTTATCAATCTGTTCTATAGTGCTGTGAAACATTCATGAGGAGCAATCTAGAACTTTGAGGTATTCAAGAAAAAGGACGAGGAACACCTCATCGATTCCGCAGTTTATCCTGCCCTAACGCCTCGAAAAGTTGAACAGGAGTTAATGCAGGATGACTTGCGGTCAGCGTCATTCAACCCCAGGATTTTACCTCCAGAGGGGTGCACTGTTCGCGACCATGAGGTCGAAATAACCTAGGGAACGAAATTATACTTCAACCGGGCCTAGTAGTTATGAGAGTGGTCGATACAGAGCGGCCATCGGCATCGTTGTTGGGGAATCCCCAACAGGGGGTCGTATTTGGCCGCCAGGAGAGGGGGTCGTATTTGGGCTGAGAAAAATTTATTTTGATAGTTGATTTTTCTCGCTTCACGGACGTTGTAAAGGGGGGGGGGTCGTATTTACTTTTTGGCTTTCTAGGAGTGGTGGTTGACTTTTCGTGATTTTCCTGTTTTCATGCGTAGTATACAGGGGGGGGGGGGCCAAAAAA